GGAGGGGTACTTGAAAATTGCGCCACAGACCCGTTGAGTTCGAGTTGACCCTCATCAAAAGCTAACTAAAAACTTTTCTTTTTAGTTTAGTTTTTATTCCAATTCCCTTCCTATCGCTCCCCCGCATAGATATATCCATGGTTCTATATGTACGGGTATCTCCGTGTGTGTACGATTTTGTTGTTTTTGTCTCTTGGCCAAAGTGGAAAATAAATGGTTCCACAGGATGACCATTTGCGTGGTGTGCATGTACGTAAGTGTGCAGTTACAATATCGGCTAAAACTACATAGTTTTATTAAAAATGTTGTTTTGAAACTAAGACATGAAATTAAAAATCACAAGCTAAGAAACAAAAGTATTACAAAATCTCATGGTATTAAACTATTCTAAACACATTTAAGAAACTAGTTAAAATTAAAAATGCCAATAACACCCGATAAAATTTTTAATTTTATTTTTACCCAATTCGGTATTTAGTTTTATATTGTTTAAATAAAATCCCTACAAAATAATATGGATGCTAGTACTGTGGCCTCTGCTGTATGTGTCGTATGTTCGTATGAGCGTCTCTTCTACCGTGTATGGTCAAAAAGTTGAAAGCCGAGCGTCACTTTTTGCACAATCCGAAACAACAACAACAACATCTGTGGCCAAAACAAAAGTCAAAAGGAAAGTCCAAACAAAAAATCCAATAGAAATTTAAACAGTTTGACGCATTAAATACTCATTGGGCAAGTTGCCGACTTGGATTTTGGCATCAGGGTGGGTTTTTGGTTGTTTTTTTAAAGGAGAAGGGTGTTGTACCAAAACCCACTAACGACTGGGGAATTTGTGACATACCATATGGAGCTGGTTATGGTTTTGTGTACGAAATAGTCACGTCTCCAAGTTGTGCAATATTTGCCTATAAAACTTAATTGCAACAGAATTGCTAGAACGAAAGGTTTTTAATTAAAAATTTTATGCATTTTCGTCCAAACAAATGTTAGTTTTATAAATTACTATATACAAATATATTAATATTTAGTTGTGTAATGAAAATAACAAAAATAATGCTCTTCATTTCTTTCTTGTTTTCAATAAGTCTGTTTCTATTTATATATTCTACCCTACCCCTTGTCAAATTGTGACAACATTTGGCCATCGTGACTTGGCCGCCCATTCCATTGGCCCAACTGATACGCACAAATCTGTTGAATGTCAAGGGGCTCAGGTGGTTAAACTTGAATCTCTCGAATCCATATTTAATTATGGCATTGCGGACCTTTGCCCACTTCTCAGGACAGTTAACCCCTTACCTGACTGCTTAGACTTAATTAGGATTCTGTGCTCATCCCGATCATAGTCATAGTCGTCATAATCATCGGAGTTCTGTGTTTGGGGCGGACGGTGTCAGAAGTGCCACTTCATCAGTCAGTATCGAGGCTACCACAGGACCACAGCCACGGGGAGTTCTCCGCGCCAACTGTTTTTCAACTTTCCGCCCAATTGCGCACTAAAAAAAATAGGGGTTCTTATTTTAACTTTACCAAAAAATTAAAAAAAATTGTAATAGCTTGAACTAATTTATTTCTTAAATGTTTTCGAACTATTGTACTTACGAGCAACACAATTATATTGTACTGTGTTTAAAATAAACTCTTAAAAATAAATACAAATTTGGTATGGTTTGTTTTTAAAATACAAAAAAAAAACAATCCTGTTATATTTCGTTGGCTTATACAAAATATATGGTATGATATAATTTTGATGGATATAAGAAGGTCATTTTCAAAAGATTTTATATTACCACATATGTTGCAGAATATTTATTCAATTCCCACAAACTGTTCAACGTTTTGGTAACTAAGAACTGTTTCAATAAAAATAAGCAAAAGAAATTGTTATTATTATTTTATTATTTTTACATTATAGACTATTTTTAGTTAATATTTTTGGAACAACCCCTTGTTCTGAGTGCAGTTTATTAAAGGGGTGCCCGGTGATGGGGAGCAGTGGTCTATGTTCCTGGGATTGCGGACGAGGCAGGGGAGCTTGTGTGTGTTTTGGGGCTACTCCCCTTTGTTTGCACTCCCGACTGACGAGGGCCCAAAGGCGATCCGCAGATTTCGATGGACGTGTTGGTGGGTCTGTGGGGTTTTCGGTGGATTTACTCTAGGGCATCTGCTCGGCTTAGCGCTAAAATGTGTGCCTACCTGGGCAACGCCGTACACCTGTCATATTCTGGGAGCCACTGTGTGTGCCTGTGTGTGTGCTGCTGATGGAATTTTAATTAAATACTCTGGTGTCTATGTTAATTTATATGCGCATATGCTTAGCCAGCCAGTCTGGGTCTGGGCAATTCCATTTTCCATTTTCCGTTTTGCGTTTTCCACATTGATATGACGACGATGTGCGGACGAGGGCTCACCTTTGAAGTGGCTGCGCATGTTTGTGATTAAGAGCTTTTTGGGGCCCTCGCGTCCTGCTCCTTAACTCAGTTTCATTGTTTAAAATTTAATTATAATTTAATGCTTAGTAAGCACTATTTCTCGCATGAAGTTCTCCGCCTTTTTCCCCTTTTCTGGTTGCTGCGGTTTTCCCTTTTGGCCCAAGCCACTTGATATTATCACGTCGCCGTCTGTCTGACTGACTCACCCACTCAACTTCAGGACCTTTGGCTTTGTCTATACCTCTGTTTTCGATTCCCATCAAGTTCTTTGGTTTCGTCAGGCTTTTGTCTGCGTTGCGGCCCTGTCACCAGGCTCCGTTTCCTAGATGGAACCCCAAATAACTTGATACGGAATTAATTCGCCACGTGGGTTTGGCTTTCTGGAATTTGCGTCGGCAACAGATTGGCATTTTCACATCATGCCGGCTTTACTAATTGTGGCTGAAAGGAATGCGCTTTAAATTTGGGATTCAGTCCGAAATATTTGTTTAATACAATAATAATATTGATTTTATAATTTTACTAATATGAAAATGGGTCAAAAATTTGATCATCGGTAAATTGAAAATTTTGAATGCAGATTTTTAGAGGATGAAACCACAAGTCTTTAGAGGTATGCCACTTTGAAATCGGATTAAATTTGGTAAAGTTATGGACTCTGGAAGTCCAATTGGGGGATACCTCATTACAAGTCATTGGAAACTTGGAAATAACTAACATGAAAATGGGTCAAAAATTTGATCAACGGTAAATTGAAAATTTTGAATGCAGATTTTTAGAGGATGAAACCACAAGTCTTTAGAGGTATGCCACTTTAAAATCGGATTTAATTTGGTAAAGTTATGGACTCTGGAAGTCCAATTGGGGGATACCTCATTACAAGTCATTGGAAACTTGGAAAAAACTAACATGAAAATGGGTCAAAAATTTGATCATCGGTAAATTGAAAATTTTGAATGCAGATTTTTATAGGATGAAACCACAAGTCTTTAGAGGTATGCCACTTTAAAATCGGATTAAATTTGGTAAAGTTATGGACTTTGGAAGTCCAATTGGGGGATACCTCATTACAAGTCATTGGAAACTTGAAAATAACTAACATGAAAATGGGTCAAAAATTTGATCATCGGTAAATTGAAAATTTTGAATGCAGATTTTTAGAGGATGAAACCACAAGTCTTTAGAGGTATGCCACTTTGAAATCGGATTAAATTTGGTAAAGTTATGGACTCTGGAAGTCCAATTGGGGGATACCTCATTACAAGTCATTGGAAACTTGGAAAAAACTAACATGAAAATGGGTCAAAAATTTGATCATCGGTAAATTGAAAATTTTGAATGCAGATTTTTAGAGAATGAAACCACAAGTCTTAAGAGGTATGCCACTTTGAAATCGGATTAAATTTGGTATAGTTATGGACTCTGGAAGTCCAATTAGGCGACACCTCATTACAAGTCATTGGAAACTTGGAAAAAACTAACATGAAAATGGTTCAAAAATTTGATCATCGGTAAATTGAAAATTTTGAATGCAGATTTTTAGAGGATGAAACCACAAGTCTTTAGAGGTATGCCACTTTGAAATCGGATTAAATTTGGTAAAGTTATGGACTCTGGAAGTCCAATTGGGGGATACCTCATTACAAGTCATTGGAAACTTGAAAATAACTAACATGAAAATGGGTCAAAAATGTGATCATCGGTAAATTGAAAATTTTGAATGCAGATTTTTAGAGGATGAAACCACAAGTCTTTAGAGGTATGCCACTTTGAAATCGGATTAAATTTGGTAAAGTTATGGACTCTGGAAGTCCAATTGGGGGATACCTCATTACAAGTCATTGGAAACTTGAAAATAACTAACATGAAAATGGGTCAAAAATTTGATCATCGGTAAATTGAATATTTTTAATGCAGATTTTTAGAAGATGAAACCACAAGTCTTTAGAGGTATGCCACTTTGAAATCGGATTAAATTTGGTATAGTTATGGACTCTGGAAGTCCAATTAGGCGACACCTCATTACAAGTCATTGGAAACTTGGAAAAAACTGACATGAAAATGGGTCAAAAATTTGATCAACGGTAAAATGAAAATTTTGAATGCAGATTTTTAGAGGATGAAACCACAAGTATTTAGAGGTATGCCACTTTGAAATCGGATTAAATTTGGTATAGTTATGGACTCTGGAAGTCCAATTAGGCGACACCTCATTACAAGTCATTGGAAACTTGGAAAAAACTGACATGAAAATGGGTCAAAAATTTGATCATCGGTAAATTGAAAATTTTGAATGCAGATTTTTAGTGGATGAAACCACAAGTCTCAAGAGGTATGTCACTTTGAAATCGGATTAAATTTAGTAAAGTTATGGTCTCTGGAAGTCCAATTGGAGGAGTCATCGGAAACTTGGAAATAACTAGCATTAAATTAGGACAACAAATTTTGAAAATTTTGAATGCAGATATTTAGAAAAGAAACTTTATATTATTGGGATAAGTAAAAAAAATGAGATTTAACTATTTTTAATCATTTAATTATTTATTTTTAAAAAATATATTGACATTTGATAATCTCTCTCTCCTATCTACAATTTTGTATGCCTACATTCTCAACAAGTGTATTTCAGGGTTTCTCATTTATTGGTGTCCAAGTGTAGATTCATCTTGGACAGATTGGTTTGGCTGATGGCATGTCCTGGCTGAAGTTCCAAGGCTCTGTGATAGCATTTCACAGCATCCTTGCGAAGGCCTCGCATCTGCAGGATGGCTCCCAGATTGGCATGGGCATGAGCTGCCAGGGGTTGCAGAGTGACAGCCTTTCGATACCACAGCTCCGCTTCGGCCAGGCGGTTAAGCAGACGCAGTGCATCTGCCACGCAGGATTGCAGGGTATAATCGTGGGGCGCCAAAGCAGCGGCTCGTAAGCGAAGACTGAGGGCCTCATGATGGCGTTCCTGCTGCTCTAGGAAGTCAGCTGGAATGGTAAAAAGTTTATCTTTAAGCGATAATAATAAATAAACCGAATAATGTTATCTAATTTTTTTTGAACAAATAATGCTGTTTTTAGGGCTATAATAGGAATATATATTAATCTTACCATAATGGTGATGAGAGCTAGCCTCCAAAGGCGCCAGCTGGAGGGCTCTTTTGAACCACGACTCTGCCTCGGCAAGACGACTGCCCTGTAGGTTAATAAAAATTTTATAAAATTCTTAAGTTTACAGTGATTTCACATACATTTCTGGCCAATGTCTGGCCATAGGTGACATAGGCCGCTCCCTTTTCCGGCTCAAGTTGCAGGGCCAATCTCTGCTGATGCTCAGCCTCATCCCAATTTTGCAGCTCCGCATGGATTTCCCCCAGACGCAAGTGCAGCACGGCCCTCTGCTTTTGAGGCAGCAAGGCCAGAGCTTTTAAGGATTCTCCCAGCATCGAAGCAGCTTCCTCGAGTCTTCCTTCGGAGCGGTAAAGGCCACTCAGTTGCAGGTAGCAGGTGTAGCGTGCCTCCTCGTGGGCCCCTCGATCCCGAACCCCATGTCCCTCCAGTCGAGCTCCAGTCCGCAGCACCGAGGTGGCTTCTTGGCGATGGTCGCCCAGGGACATCAGGGACATGCCCAGATTCAAATATGCCACCGCCAGTTGGGGCCGCAATGCGATGGCCCTGCGATGGCTTGCAACAGCTGAGCTGAAGTTTAGTTGCTTCTGGTGCACCACGCCCCTAATAAATAAATTAAAAAAGGAGAATAAATAGTTTAAGATTTGCATTTTCATTTAATTAATTATGTTCAGACAAATAATAAATTCTACATTGGCCTTTTAAACATATAATTTCTCCCCAAGTCTCTTGAATAATAGGTTCTACACAACTAAAACAACTAACAGGCAACAAAGCACTTGCATTTCCTTGGAAATGTACTTTTCGGAACACCCTTCATAGTTTTTTGCTCTTCGCTCAAGAGGAATCATGGCGAAAAATTGTTTAAAAAAATATGCAGAACCTGAAAAGGAAAGTCGGGAAAGCGAAGTTACTTAACTCAACAGGCCGCAGCCTCTAAAAGTGTTGGAAGTAAATTAACTTTGCGTTTGCTTTGCAACGGTTTTCACGGGCTAATTGCACAATGCTGACCTTCAAGTTGATTTTGGCCAGCTTCATTTAATCAACGGACAGCAGTCAGCCAAATTTACCGCCCTCAGTCTATATTTTCCCAGTCCACAAACAAATATCCCGCACATATGCATATGTATATCAGTTGTCGTCTGGTGGTTATCCATACATGTCCGAGTGTCTGGCTTCCCCCTATATAAACACAATGTTTCGACGGATCGTATGCATGGATAAGCGATTCTAAATAAAGGCAGCGTTTTGTTTGCAGCATTCCAAAAGAATGTAACGTTACAAAACAGTGGAAAATAAACCTAAGCCCAGATTGCTACTGCAAACCAGCCACATCTGCAGCAGCTACAAAATAATTCAAACAAAACGGCGCGCACTCTGAAATTTGTGTTGAGTAGCGACAAGGCTATAAAATCAACAAGAGGGCCGATTGTAAAGACTTTGGATTTTGACAAAAAGCAGCTTTAGTCCTGAGTTACAAGCAACACAAATATGTTACATGTTTGCATTAGTGTGCCTTAGAATGTGAAATCCGGAACGGGGATTTATGCAATTTTTACAAATTTACAATATCCTTTGCCGCAATGTAAATTTGAGTTGCTGCTTAGTAAAATAACAAAACAAATTTTGGCAGTAATATTTTCTTATTTTGGATTGTGTATATATTTCTTACTTTAATAATTTCTGCATTTATTTAATAGATAGCTTAAAACACAATGCAAATATGTAAAATGTAATATATAATATGTAATATGTTACAAAAAAATAATAACAAAAAAATCAATTTGGTTTTAATTAGAGTAAACAAATGTGGAAAAAACATAGAAATGTACATTTTCATCCTTAGATGACTTTTAACATAGAAACTTTTTTCCCAAGCTTTCCTGTTTTTCTACCAAAAATTTGCAAATCGAACCGATTAGCTTTTCCACCAGATACTAAGCTCTGGAGTGGGTGAGTGCAAACTTTTCAATAAACACTCGCATATGCCGCCGAATGCAGGGTTGAATTTGTTTAAATTTTATTTTCGAATGAGCAGACATTCCTTGCTGAAAATCCCTCGTTGCCCACAATTTCATTCCCGATCTTTTCCACATTTGTATTCTGCAGTTGGGGGTGCAAATAAAAAAAAGAAAAAAGGGGGATATATAAAACAACCAAAAAATGGAGCCAAGTGAATGCATGCGAATTGCAACCGAACAACGCATGGATTTGCTCAACTGAATATTGAGTATTCTATTTTATACTATTCACTCGTGCAAAAAAAAAAAGAAAACAAACCATGTTGTTTTATTTATTTTGATGTTTTTTTTTCCCTCTTTTTGTTTTTTTCTTTGTGCAGGTAAGGAAACAGCAACTGAACGAAAATAAAACGAGCAGAAGGAGTGAAAACGAGAAATCGAATTATACAGCTCAGTGATTTTTTGGTTTTGGTGTTTGGCTGCCTGTTACTTTGACTTTCCCACCTCCGTCACCGGCATCACAACCACCCATTGCCCATCACCCATCACCCAGTACTCAACTTATCCTTTTGCAGCTAAAAATCAGAGCAGCCTCGCTCGGCACAGGAGCAGGAGCACACTACAAATCCCTGACAGTTGACTGGCGCAGCAGAAACAGGAGCAACCAACAGCAAGGAGCAACAGGACCCATCGTCGGATGGATGCTTTATGTTCCGGGAGGTGGCACGTGGCGGGATCTGAAAATCCGTAGCCGCAGGGCACAAGGTGCCGGCTAGAGATATCCCGGCTATTGATGGCTTACGAGTAAATAATGTACAAACAGCTGCTTATCCGCGACGCACTGGCACCCCGCAGCTTCATCTTTGCGGGGTTTTTTCCTGGTCCAAATGGGTGGTGTTCGGGGTTGAAGGGCACCCACCTGGCATTGATTTTCGATTAGAAGGCGGAAAATGCTGCCACACCAACACCACCCAGCCATCAAAATTTCACAGCTTGGCGAGCTCTTAAAGCTTCCATAATATAAATATTTCAATTTCCACTTCTGACTTTTAGATTAGCAAGTGCACCTTCTGGGAGAAACTAGTGCTCTAAAATCGATATGGGGGTTTTTATATCTTTTCACATTTTATTACTATTATACTATTACTATAAAGTATTTTTATTTCTTTTTAATTACTATAGAGTGGGCGTTTTAATTTTGTCTTTAGTCGATCAACGAAATATGTTAAACATATAAATTGCAAATTGTGTAGCTATTGAATGAAATTGTACTAAATTCGAACTTTGTTAGAAATTTTATTTTTGCTTTCGAGTTTTGCATAGTGTTACTAAGAGAGAGGCCATTGCATTTTGCAAGTGGACAGGGCAAAAATTCAATCAGACAACTTTTCGATAAGCTGCAAAGGCAACGCAGGCCGTTGGAGTGGTGGCAAAGTGGGCGAGAAAAGCGTTTTAAACTTTCACGGCACTAAAATGAAATCTCTGCCCGGGCTTCCCTACACTTTGGACTTGGTCAGAGGCCAATGTGCCAGCGGCCAGGGATCCGGACTCTGCACTCCGGACTCCGGATTCCAAAGTCGCCCACTGAGCCGGCCAACGTCTCGTGTATCGTTTTGAGCCAAGTTAATAACCTGCAGGCGAACGAAGCCTTAGCAGTTATGAAGTTCGCGCTTTGCTTTTATGTCGTTGACATTATTTGAAATTTTATCTAAGCCGTCAACAGTAGTATTTTCTTTTTGCTTCATTCTTGGCTTTTTCACATTTTCTACAAGGACTTTCCGGAGGATTATAGGGGATATAGCGGTGCGAGTGGGAGATCCTGCCCGAGAGCTTGTTACCCAATTAGAAGGGATAAGTAAATAGATTTTAGTTACCTAATAAGTGTGATCAAAAATATGTAAAAAGCTTAAGAAATGTGTTTAATATTTAAGTTATTATTTGAGAGAATCAAAATGGGTGTCAGAAAAGCGCTTTAAATTTTTTTATTTTAGGAGCCGGTTAAAAGGTTTAGAAATTACTCACGAATCCGAAAAATGATTAGTAAGAAATAAATCAAATAGTTAGGAAACTATTATAAAGTTTTCCACTGAGGTAAATATTCTATAAAAACAAATAACTTTTAAAGCTGTTTTTATAAGCTTCTTAAATAATCTGTTGGTTTTTAATTCAACAGTTTCCTGGCTTATTGTTCTTTTTTGCGGCGATACAACAATTATTCACGTTTCATCGTGCAATAAATAAAATACTTTTTATAATCCTCACTCACTTATTGTTAGAAAATTGAGTGAGCCATTAAAAAATACACTTCCCAAACGCCACAAAAATTCTTGTTAAAAATAATCGTCAATATGAGCATTAATGTTACAGTCTCCCGTAAGCCGATAATCCCCTCGTATATAAACACATCCCCACAAATAAGCAGTTTAAAGAGGCTTTTCCGAGGCATCGCGAGTAAAACAAAACGCTCCGTTTAAATATTTATTTAAATGAGGAGAACCGGAATTACTGCATATTGGGCTTCCATGGAAACAAAGCGATGAATACACTCACGGGGTAAAATGCCCCACTGCACCGAATGTTTTCCCCACCCAGTTTACCATAGTTTTAGTATTCACTTTTCCGGAACGAAGGCAATTCGGCGGAGAACGATTACGGCATTCATGAATGAGGTGGGGTAGCCCAGTTTGAGATTCCGTTCCCCAGATGCTGCCATTGTCCGTGGATCTCGGGAGTTCTCAGCAATTATTTGTATTGAGCTCCTCCACGGCAGCTTTTTTCCCCCAGCGGGAAAGCTGGAAAAATGACTTGGCAAGCGAACGAAAAGGGATTTACCTACAATTTGCCAAAGAAGCAAAGCGAAAGGATTTATTCCGTGCGTCTTTTGCTCTCCTTTTTTGGAGCGTAAAGCCTATTATGTCAAACACAATAATCAACAACGAGCGGCAAGGCGACAGCAGCAGCAGCAGCAACAATAGTGACAACTGGGCGTATGAGCAACGGCTGCTAGTGGGTCCCTGCAAGGACATGAGGCGATTGGACCGAGTTTGAGGAGCTCGAGGAGCGGCCACCAGTGGAAATGACGTCCTGCATATTCAAAAGAAGTGCAGCAGTCAGGACACCAAGCCAACAGTGGTTGGAATAGTAAAAAATTAGAATAACCTGATTATAGATCTCAACATTATTTTTGGATTATTTATTTATTTAAATAGATGATTCATTTTTAAAGGTTAATTTTTTATTTTGAAAGGGCTTTAAGTCAATTGAATGAATGAAAATGTATCCATAATTTTCGACTTTAAATTTATACCTTTCGAAAAATAACATTCAAATAATTAAATTAAAATGTGTATATTTTGAGTAAAATAGGCGATTACCAATTATATAAGATTAAATTGATTCCCATTGTCAGCCTTTTTTTCGTTTATTTTCGCCATTAAAGATTGGTTGACATAGTTTTCCCATCATTGATTACAGTATTCATTGAATTGCCCATTAACTTGCCATTTTTTTTGACAAGCATTTCCGATTTCATGCCCAGGGTGCCCTTCGATGGGGCGTCGAGTGCTATTCGTTAAGCGTTGGCATGTTTGCGCTTCTCTCGTAATGCATAGTACTGCCCTGGGTTCCTCCTTCTCCTGCTCTATTTGCCCAAATCCCAGGGGAGAAAGGGGTGTTCAAGGAGGAGGAGGACCCAGTCTGGACCCGGCGTTCTCAGTTGGCGGTCGCCGTTAGCGTCGATGCAACGGGTAAATTGCACTATGACTATCCAAAGCTGGCTCGAGTGTGCCTGCCATATGTCCAAAGGAGTAGTGTCATTGGCCCCGGAAAATGGGGAAATCGGTGGAAGTAGGAGAGGGGGCTGGGAAATGCGGGGGATAAGCAGGATGCCGACGTCATGCGTCAGCAGTTTTATTTTCTCATATTGTTGCATCAAGTGCAGCTTGTAAGCAGAAATGCCAATTTTCCTTTTGTTGTTACTATTTTTCCATTCTCATTCCCATTCCCATAGCAATGGCAGATATGTTATTGTTGATTTGCTTGTATAGGACATTATACATGTCGGGGCTTTTGTTTATTTATTGTGTTAGACAAGCGAAATGGTTTCGCAATGCCGAGGAATGCAATTGTCGCAGCTGCTGCTTTATTGCATTGATGTACGTGTTCGACTTTGTCTCGGGAACAAATCGCAGACGAAATAGATTACATAAATTTGGATATAAATTAGCACATCTAACTGGAATATATATTGCCTTTTTTCTAAAGGATTAATTGACCGGGTTTGAACGACCTTAAAAACATAAAAATACAACTCTAAAGAATATTTAAAATAAAGAAAGAAAATGTATTAATTAATTTTGTATAATATTTAGCATTCCAATTTTGAATATGTCTGAGGGCGACTGTATAATTTAAAAATTTAAAAACGATCAAAACTTAAAATATATTTACTTATTTATTATTTTTAAAACACCTTTTCTGTACTTAATTCAAAGTATCGTTGAATAAGTTACAATAAGTTAAGTAAATAAATAAGAAAATGGGAAGCTGTTATAGATTATATTGAGTTCTCATTTTTCCTTGTTATTTTTGATAATTTTTATACGCAAATCTTGTATAAAATGGAATATTTCAGTTAGGCGATCTTAACTTTCCCATTTGTAAGTGAGACTGTGCACCCAATTCAAAGTACAACTCCATGTGTACTTAGCAACTGGGCAGCAATTCCGTGTATCTCGAAGAATCTAAGTTGGACTCGAAAACCCATTGAGTTTTGGCCTAATTAACAGCATATCTCCAGGGGATTAGGGTGCGCAATGGTTTTTGCATTCATTTCAGTCGTATTGTTTCAAAGGTTCCGTTGCCCATTTACAAAGGTATAAAAGGAGTACATACACCCGTAGAAAAAAAACGAGTAAGGGCAAAGGGGGCGTGGCTGTGGGCGGTGGTCCGGGTAAAAAACTGAAACCAGCAGCTATTTGCTGTTGATGGCTGCCGAGTGCATGCAAATTGCCATCCAAAAGATGCAAAACATGTGCCCCCGTGCGCTGGAGCTAAAGTTTCTGACCGAGTTGATTTGTATGCGCGATGCATCTGGGCAGTTTTCACCGCCCAACCACCCACTTCCTCCTTTTTTTTTGTCGCTTTTTCTCAGATGTTGTCCGAACGTTTTTGCCGGCAAACGGAAGAGGGAACAGAGGAGCGACTACAGAAGCATCTGCCATACGCTATTAAGAGCAGCTACCCACTCTCCCCACCGGTGAACCACGGCACCACTGGAACGCTGGAACACCACCACCCAAATGCCCAAGGTCGCGACAGCCATTCACTTTGAGCTTTTGAATTTTGAAAAGGCCACCAGCAAAACCTGACATCATTTTGTGGATTCAGGTTTTATGTGGCGCGGCTAAGGCGCGAGTTTTGTTTCGAACTGCCAAGGATTTCGGTGGCCACCACATGCTCCAAAACCAGGTAACGCGTTAACGTTTACTCACAGATTAAAGTGCGCATCGGCCATGGTGGGTCGATAACCCAGGGCCATCCTCAGAGCCACTTTGGCCTCCTCGTATCTTCCCTGGGCGCTCAGGACACTTCCCAGGTTAGCCAGAGCTGAAAATAAAAATAGGTAATAGTAATTGAAGTTATTCACGTTTATTAACAATGCATTAGTCAAAAATCAAGCAGTAAAATAGGAAAAAGTCCTTTTAACTTTTATATTTAATAACATAAAAATATTCCAAAAGAAATTAAAAATTTTAATTTAAAAATGTATGTACTAACAAATTAATTTTAATTAAATTACTCATACGACACGTGGTTCACTCTTACAGAACTTCTAGTGTTGGTTTTTAAAGCGACTATCGCCTTTTTTATGAATTTCAAATATGAAAGTAAACATATCATTTTACAATCTATTTCATTTTTATTTAAAAAATCTCTAAGACTACACAAATTACTCATACGCCATGTCAGCCACACAATGTTAGATGTATTGCAATAAAATATTAGCACTCACCCTTTGGTGGATTCACACTAATTGCACTACGGAAAAGCTGCTCCTCATCCCGCCAATCCAAGTTGCGTCTGAAGGTGCGAACTCCATGGGCACCCAGGAGCAGCCCCAATCCGCAGAGGAGCATCAACCTGGATCGCCGGGAGCTGCTGACCCTCCTCCAGAGACTGCCGAAACCGAGGCCAAAGAGCAGACAGTAGCCCACACTCGGCAGATAGAGAACTCTTTCGGCCATTACAAATCCCACGTAGAAGAGCAGATTGCTGGCGGGCAGGAATGGCAAGACCAGGAAGGCAATGGCCATAAGCGGAGCTGGCCAAAAGGCGCTTTTCGAGGATGTGGGGTTCGTAGAACGATAGCTGGCAGCGGATAGCTGATGGTGGCAATTGCAAGTAAGGCCCAGCCAGTTGTGGCAGCTTTTTCCCCCAATCGCCTCAAAAGCGGCAGCGAAATGCTCGCCATCTCCGCGAAATCCATCGTTGAGGCTGAACGCCGGAGTCCAGAGTTCGCACACAGTACTCCAAGCAGGGATCCATAGAAGCCAAGGCTCAGGACATTTCTGGCATCCCAAAGCGTTCTGATCCGCGGCACAGCCTCCATACCCCAGTCGAAACTCAGCTCCTGTGGCCAAAGGAGTACTCGGAAATTGGCCACCGGCAGGTACAGAAAAGTGAGTGTCCTTGTCCAAAAGCAGGATTCATGGGCCGTCGGATTGTCGGCGGCCGAAAAGGAGGCGGTGGGACGTGGCACAAGACTAAGGCGACAGTAGAGGGCACACAATAGGGTAACACCCAGAATGGAGAGTGATCGGATGCGGCGCTGAAAGTAAACCATAGTTTTTAAAATTAAATTTTAAAATTTTAGAAAGAAAATGGTCAAATTCTTTAATTTATAATTAATATTTAATTTATTTAATTTATAATTCTTTTGCAAACTTTTTAAGATAACCAAACTTTTTCTGTACATTTTTTGGAAATGTATTTTTCAGATTAACTACTGGCCATAACTAAATTACTTTGTTTACCGATTGCTAAAATTGTACTTTAATTAATAATTTTTTTGTTCATTTAATTATTAATTATTTATTATTATTTATATAGCTATTTATATATTTATTTATACATTTATTTATATATTTATTTAATTATTGCAGGCTAAATTCAAGAAATCAACATATAAGGATCTATTACTGACCTTATCATTATTTTCCCGACCAACTCCCGACAACACATCACACAGTCCACACAGGAGAAGCGCCGTGATGGCCGTCTCCTTGCAGAGAAGTGCAGCCAGCGCCAGGACAATGGTGAGAATCAGGGATCCCCATTCCCGACTCAGCATGTGCCGGCGGTAGGTGAGGTAGGCGAGCAGGTAGCAAACGCAGGCGGCCAAGTCCGCCCTGCCCACCAAACCGGCCACTGCCTCCGTGTGGGCGGGATGGGCGGCGAAAAGGACGCCGGCGGCCAGGACTCCCACTCGAGACGGCAGGAGCGTTCGCCCCACCAGAATCACAAGCCACGTGGACAGACAGTGGAGGAGCACGTTGACCAGGTGGTAGCCCATGGGCGTCATCCCCGTCGCCAGGAAATTCAGCCGGAAGCTGAGCACGCACAGTGGTCGCCAGGAGCCGTGGGATCCACTGTCCACCAGCTGGGTGCCCCAAAAGTCGTTCCGCAGAAGATGAGATAATGGGCGAACTCCTGTCACGTCTCCATTCGCCAAGATAGCGCGTCTGCAAAAAGGACAAAAATAAAAATCATTAAGCCGTATATTGGTACACTAAAAAAATAAATATGCTAGGTTGTACTGTTTAAATTTAGTTTAATGACTTAGCTTCGAAATAATAATTAATTTAAATTAAATCAATTTTAAGTTAAGCCTAAATGTCTAATTATTATAATTATATGTACCTAATAGTGAGCTATATTTTAGGGGGCGTTAATGTTTGAATTGTGTCCACAGCTCGAATTACTTCAGTTGAGAACGGGCAAACAACCTGTGGGCCACCTGTCCAATTAATTAAAATGATTAATTGTCTAGCTAGGACCTTCTCTGTCTCTTCATTTCTCACACCTATCTTTCCAAAGTGACCGGTTCTCCTCAACTTGACTCCTTTCGTCTCGACTTTCCTGCTACACGAAATCGGAGAGTCCTGAATTCTATGCGACCACTTGTGTCTGCGCCTCTTGTCCTATTTATTTTGCTTTTACTTAGATTGGTAGAAGCTCTAGAATAGGACATGTTGGCTATTCAACAGGCTATGTCCAAAAAAGTAAAACATTACCTTGTTACTTTTTTTAAATTAATTAAATTGTGTTACGCTTTCAATATAAATAAAATAAAATGTACAATGAACCAAAATATTAAAATTTAATTTATTTTTTTTGTTATTTTCAATTAAAGACTTTAAGATTTCGGCAGTTTAATATTAAAAACTTACATTAATCAACAAAAATAGTTAGTATAGGATTCTTAACTTTAAGTAAATACAATCATGATGGCAATATAAAAATATAAGCTCTATAATTAAATAAATAAGTTTTTCAAAAAGGGTGTTCAATAGTCTGTTATATCTACCACCAGCAATTTCATGTCTGTTCATTTTTATTGTCCCTTTGTTTTTGCACTCGGCATAAATATTGTTAAAGTGCCAAGCGACAGTTGACTCGCCAGACCAGCCGCGCCCCCTTTTCAGCTGCCTCCCCCCTCGTCCTTGCTGTGCACTTGCGGCTTGATTAATTGCCGATTTGTTGGCGTATTTTGTGCCTTTGTTGTAAAACAGCACACACCGATAAACAGTATACGGCACACCATACACCTATGCCTGTGTACGAACACCAACGTTGTCATTGTGAAGTGGACGGGTCCTTGGTAATTGCCTCGCCGTTGTAGCGCTCCTTGTTGTCCTAATCGATTTGGCCGGCACAGTGGCTCCGGGTCAGGTAGCCATATAATCAGGGTTAGTTTGTTATCGGCGTTGTTGCTGCTGCTCGTGGAAATTTATAGAGGTCCCACAATAATACCTTAACCATTTTATGCATAATTAGTTTTTAGAAGTGCGCAGTAAATGTCATTAATTCACTTTTCTGCTTTACAGAGGGCTTTGAGCCAAGTTTTCAGGGGGAATTTGGAGCCCAAACACAATTGCACCAATATATCCATCAATGTCAATTGATTCGTTGACTTAAATAACTTTGGGGAGAAATAAATGACAAAATCTTAATGTATATGTTTATTAATTACGAGTATTCGGCTTAAACTTTTAGCAAACCTATTTAAAACGCTTAGGCTTGTGTGAAGCAAATTCTCTTGCCAACTATTTATTCGTTTTAATATTTGTGTTTCATAAATAATATTTGGTATTTACGTCAAATATTTATTGTTATATTCAATATTTGCTCCTTAATGCTTGCGTATACATTTAAGGTTTAAGGTTTTACATATTTGTTTAAATAACTTATTAAAATTCGTTTGATTACGCTCACTTAAATTCATATTTTACGAATGGGAATAAGTATCGTTTCATTTTAAAATGGAAAATTAAATTGTAGCTTGTTAAATAATCAATTAAATCTTCAGAGATATTTAATTTGGTTTTTACCTGCCTCAGGCTGTGGTTTTAGGGTCTTTTGGGGTCTTTTATACAAAAGTTCAAAGGTTGTGCAAACAAATACATATCCGCCGAAGCCTGGCGGCAACTGTGGGGGAAAAGTCCAAAGAAAAGTCATGAGCAAACACATAAGTTGGAAAGCATTTTGAATAAAAATTCGGTTTTCAATTTAATATTTTATTTATCATTCGAATTGGGAAGCCGTGGAATGGGTGGCCGGAAATATGAATTGTGGCAAAGCTTTATTGCATGTGTGTGTATGTGCAGCTCTTTCAATACGAGAATATGGTAATAAAAAGGATGTGGTGGTGCAGGAAGATGGTGCCACAAATTGGGTTTACAAATTCGCCGGAGCGACGTGCCCAACTATAAAGCAGAGTTATTGGCAAGGACCTGGCTTCGTGGTGCCTTTTTCCGTGAGTGGTCCGGGTGTGGGAACCCACTCATCTACACTTCAATTTTAATTGGCATTCCTAAGTCTCCAGTCCCCCGCCCACAACCGATCTCCTTTAGTTTGCGCCAAAGCAGCCACAAAAATGTCGTTGAGAGCAAACAAATTCTTATCGGAAGAGCACAAAGCAAAAGCACAGGACGCAGATGAAGGAGCTGCTAAGTTGAAAAGTCCTTCCATGCAATGCACAGTTGGGGGTAAGAAAATATAGTTTGAATTGGGTAATTAATGTTCAACTTTTTGAAATATTAAAATATTATTAGAAAACAATTTGTAACATTGGGAAAGATCGAAATAAAGAATTATTTATTATGAAATTTTGTTTAGTTTAATATAAAATTTCGTGCTGTAAACCAAATACATTTTGATTAAGCTTTTATTATAGACAACGATTTTAAAAATGTAAAAATATTAATGGGTTGCTAATCCTAATTTTGTGACAGCTTCTGTTCTTTGGATATGCCCGTGGGTGAATGTTGGGTAATGCTACTTCTATTTAGGGGCTGTAAGCATTTTCCGTGGCACATAAACGAACCGAAAATTGTTCTACGCTTCATTTGCAAGGCGATGCCAAGGTAACGTTCAAATATTGAAAAGAAATTTCATTGCATACCTCGGAGCGGATGCACACAAAGCCGTCTATTTGCGGGTGTACGAGGAGTACGAGGATTACGAGTACGAGGAGATGGGCTTACTTCCCGACCCAACTGGGTACAAGTCACCTTGAAGTCAGCGTCAACATTATCGTCATCAGCAGAATTTCCGCAGTTCCCTTTTTTGTGCTTTATCATCGTAACTAGTGAATGAATAGCAATAGCAAGGCCAACAACCAAAACATCAACACCCACCCACGGGCAGGGGCAACAACAACATTTTGTCGGCGGCAAGGGGGTGGGGCAGGGGGAGGGGCAGTAGGTGGGTGGTAGGCGGTAAGGAGCGGGCAGGAGCAACAACAACAATGGTGGGCTTCAAGCAGCTTACAAGTGCGGCATGTTGCTGCCGTTATCGTTCGCTTTTCACTCTCAACTCGAGCAGGAGGCCACAGACAGGATCCAAATTTGGAGGAAGGACCAGGAGCAGGAAAGTCTCAGGCAATCGAGGAGGAACAGAGCCGCAACACACACGATGCACAGTGGTTTCCATGGGTTAAGTGTTGCATTTAATAAGCCAAATAAGGAAGAAGTGTCCTCAAATCTAACACAATATTAAAGAAAACGGATCCAAAGGAGGAACAAGATAATCAGGTATCACTAGCAAGTATAATTAAATGATATTAGTTCTCGAAAATGTTATATTTTAGCTTAATTAATTATTTTAGTTTAACATAGATGAATAAATGAAATATAAAACTCCTCAGGACTTATTTATGCAGAGCCAAAATAAAATAAGTTTTTAAATATTTGGAAGATATGCATTCAACCATCACCATTCTTTGAACCCTCTACTCCACTGTGGCGCTCACATCACCCACACACAGGAGCACGGACAGCCAAACAGGACTGTGGTTGGCTTTTGTTGAAGACAATATATCATAGCATCAGCACCGAATGTGGACACCATTCTGGCCTTCCGTTCTGTGCCTCCGCCCATCAATTTCCCTCCCATTTTCCTGGCTACCCACAACATTTGTATTTGTTGCTGCCGCTGTGCTTATGTAAAGTGAAAATTTTTCGATTTTATATAGGTAGAAGAAAAAAGAGCACAAAATTCTGTTACTCTGGTTGCAAACAAACACCCACACACCCCTCTTTTGTGAGGAGTGCCTAGCGTCCGGTGGTTGTGTGCCATCAAAATTACGTATACGTAACGTTGTTACTGCTGTTGCTGAGTTTTTACAGCCGGTGTTGCTGTTGTTGTCGCTGTCCTTTTAATACGGCACATAAATTATTGTAAGACTACAGATTGGGGGATGTTTGGCAAGGTTGTTTTTTTTTCTGGTTTCGAAAATGGAAATATATCAAGTTGAAGGTGTGAATCGGATGACCAATAAAGATAAGGCTATTAAAGGTGCAAAATGCTCTTTAAAAAGTTTCAACACAAATATATTTCCACACTTTATAAGTATGGACTGAGTCACCAATCATATATAATTATATCCTATTAGTTCAATTATTGGCAAACTTCTTGAGCACTACACTTAATCAAAAAGTTGCCAAGCATACTTATTAAAATCTCATATCTCTCATAGATTTCCTATTGCCAAACCATCCTCCCCTTCGCCAAGCCCAAGCCATTGGTCTTTTTCCAGTTGATAGGAAACAAATTGAAGGGAATTCTGCCATTTAATAAATCATGTTATGTCTGGCCCGGCTTGACAATAATAACTTGTGCTCGTGTGGTCATAGTGGCCATGTTGTGGGATGACCGCAGAGCATACGAAAGAACTGGACGATAGGTAGGCTCCGGCACTGAGAAAAATCTTGTTTGTCTTCATAAAGTTTATAATGATTTAGTAATTTATGTAGAAAATGTTGCAGTACTATAATTTATGATTAATTTAGTTTTATTCATTATTCGTTTTTAATCTGAATTGAGTTGGAATTAAGTAGCGAATTTTTTTTAAGCCATTTTGGCAGTTCGATTAATTTTTAAGATTTTCCTAAATTTGTTTTATTAAAATAGGCATTGTAATGTAACTTTGTCATATTCAAATAAGAGCTCCAAATTTAAATGGACCATAATAAAAATCAGCTTCTTTTCAAATTAAAATTATATTTTAATGTCATGAAATATTCATTTGTCAATAGTTTTTTCCCTCTGCTTAGGACGAAAGTCCGGCTTTAACTGGTGTTGGCAACTGCGTGAAAGTGACCGCAGGACCTTCTGCCCCAAGCAAAAAACATAAACTCGCACACAACTTTCCGTGCGGCAAAAGGGGAAGCTGAGTTACATAAGTTGCGTTTATTATTTGTGCGAATGTATGAGTTTGTGTGGCGGTAAGTTTTGCGTTTGTTTTCTGGACAGCACAAAATAACGAGCTACATCGAGCTGAGCACTTTGTGCATAACTTGCCCAGCCCATTCTCCTCCTCCCCTATATTTCCGCCCAACTCCTTCAGGACAATTGTTCGCTGGCATTGTAGTTGAACCGGGAGCAGAACAGGAGGCACTTGTTTGCCGGAATGGTCAGAAAGCTCACCGGTTTGACTCCTGACTGCAGAGCTAGACCATTGTATGGGGATGGGGAAGGAGATGGGGCTAGGCGGGTCCTTGGGGAAATTCCTGTCCATTGTACATGACTTTTGATATTTATGGGTAATTTCGTTTGCGTTTGCAGCATTTCAATGCGGCCAGGTGAGGAGAGTGCGAGAAAGAGACCGAAGTCTCCCAGCTCGGGGGCATAAATCAACATTTTGTTTTTTAATTTGCTTCATCGCCGTCTGACTCTGACAATGGCACTGGATCTCCCGCATATATATCAACAATATACCCAGGCGATAAGCCGGCAACTGGTCTGCTTCAAGTTTTACAATTAGGCGGGCCGAGAATTTATGATGGCGATTTTATCAAATAAATGGCGGCACTTGGCGCACAATTAATAATAAACTTTTGTATTTTTCGGTTGCCTTTTTTTTTGTCGTTTTGGTGACAAAATGTTGTTGCTCTTGGCCATCAACAGAAAGGAGCGAAAAAGCCAAAGGACCAAGCAACGCCCAAACCAGACCAAACCAAACCAGACCAGACCATTTACCTTCGTCAACCTGCTGACATATGGAATTTTTAATTCGCTTAAATTTTTCTCACCTGTCATCGTAGACAAATCCAGCGTTAAGTGTGTTTAGGTACAGGACAAAAGCCAGCGCCGAGCAGCCGGCGAGTCCTGCGTAGTCCTTGTGGCAGAGCGGCGGCGACATGCTGCAAGAGAGAAAGGACAGACAGTCAGACAGACAGTCAGAATATAAATATAAAAGTCGAGTGTCATAAAATATATGCTGAAATTCATTCTCGAAGCCTCCTCAGCAACAGCAACAGCAAGAACAAAGCACTTAATCCTGACTGAGGCAGGTCCTCCGACTCGTCCAGATGGGCAATTCTCTGCGGCATTTTCGTTATGACAACATTTACATATTTTCCTTTTTTATCCTGCTGCTGTTGTTGTTGCCGTTGCTGATGGCCTTAAGCACGATTTAATTACTTAATTTTTTGTTAGGAAATTCAAGGTGGGCGGCAAGAAATTCCAAGTTGTGTAAATACATTTAAAAGGAAATTTTTGAGTTGTAATTATTTATGCAGGAATCTACTCTTGAAAATTTCAAAAGCTCATTTAACAAATATGTTCATAAAAAAATTTTATGAATTGCTATGTTAAAGAGCATTTATTTAATAGTAACTCAGGTAATCATTTAACATAACATTGGTTGTTTAATGAATTTTATGTCTAAAAGGAATTAATATTAGTAAGTGTTAGATTATGATTAAATTTTAATCTTTGTATAAGGAATGCATTGTTTTTTACTAGCTCTAAGAAGCTTAAAACGATTTTTTTTTCGAATATAAAAATGGAATATATGGCTTTTAATTGAAATTATAGTTTTACCAAACCTAAAACAATCAAATAAAGACGAAAATAAAAATATTTTAGCTCAACTTACACAATAAACACATTTGGTATACTACTATTTGTATGACTACTATTGAATTACAGACTACTATTTGAATGCGATTAGTTAAATCAGATATCAGTTTATTAAGAAATAATTACCCATATATGGAGAAAGCCTTTCCCTAAAAATCCACCTATTTTTGGCCATTAAATTCCCCAAAATTATTTGAGTTGCCCTGCACAATCAGCAATCAAAACTGTTGAATGCAAACAAACCCCAACGCACGTGCCTAATGATTATTGCCGCAGTGGAGTGAAATTGACGGAATGGAATGGAATAGAAGCTATTAGTTGGACAAATGTCGCCATCATCATCGTCGTCCTCATCATCATCATCATTGTTGTAGTTTTGGTTGTGGTCAGCGTGTCTGTTTTGGCTCAACTCGTTTGTCATGGCATTCTTCGTTTTATATTAGCCGCAGACATGTTGTGTCTACGTGGGAGCCCATCCACAGAATCCCCCATGCCGAACCCCCCTTTCCGATCTCACACGCCCGTTGACGGAAATTAAATGTTACGACGACATTCTGGATCGTCCTGCCAAGCGAAACACGGCACATGCAATACGGGATACAAGCTCTGAAATGCAGAATACGGCAATGGCAATAGCAATGGCATTCCCATTGTGATACCCTCCCCCATCCCGGATTCCCAATCCCCCCCCCCCCAGCTCCTCCCCTGTTTTTGTGGCGCTTATAGTGGCGGTGGTGTTGTCATCATCACCATCAGCGCCATTACGAATAATGAGTGGTCGGCGGGGGGTCCGCTGGGTGGATGGACTTTCGGACCGACTACGGCGGCTGTTGAACAGTCATGCCTTGGTCATCGCACGAAAATTGTTATCTCGCACATTGCAGACGATTTCCGGCAGGAATTTGGCCCACGTATGTACACTGCGACTGCGACTTTGATCCAGATTCGGATTCGGATTCGCATTCAGATTCAGATACGGTTGAGGGCAATGGAGAGGCGACGGGATAACAGGAATTAAGTTCGCACCGTTTGCAAATGACAATGGCATTCAAGGCAGTCTGGGAAAATTAGCCCTAAGCAATCTCAATCAAGTATGCTTCCGACTTAATATACAACACATTTAAGCATTCAAATTTTTTTGTAGAATTTGAGGCTCATTTTTTAAAATTCTGTTTTTTAAACAAAATATTTTAAGACAGTCTGAGAAATATTCATGTTTTTAAGTAAAAACCCATCTAAAAAAAAACAAGAAAAATTGTAAGTACTTTGATTACAAACACTTCAAAGTAATTAGTGTCATTGAATTGTATGATTTGCCGTACGCTAAATAAATTTTCTATAGAAAACCCAGTTCCAATGCGCTTCAATAAACATGAGGGACTGCCAGGGTTGATAACAGTATTATGCTTAATCCAGCCACTCAAGTCTCAAAATAGAAAATTAGCTTACATTTAACAATTTGTTGGAACTCCCCTTGGCTCATGGATTTTCAGCTATTTTCAGGCCCACAAGTATCAACACTTAAGGCAGCACACACTTCCTTTGAAGGAGCAGCCAGTATTCATATATGGCTTCCTTTTTCGGCTTCGCAATGACGCTGCTAATGAGGTCTAATAACGATAATGATGGCCACACAAATAGTAAATATGAATACACATGCTCATTTACGAAATACGTTTATGTATACTTCAATGGAAGGGTCGGATGAATGGCAGTCATTTGCCGGGGATGTGATGATAATGGGCTCTGGCCCAGGGGATGCAACTGATTGGCATTGTCAAGGATGAAAGCGATAGTTTGCCTGAATATGCCTCTTAAATATAATGATTTCCCGAAAAATAACCAAGTGATTTTCGACGAAAATAGCTGAATGTCTATGCAAACTCATCAGTATTATATTGTGCCATAAATAGGAATGACCTAAAAAAGGTTATAATACGATTTATAATGGTGTTTTACTAAAATATCATATCCACAAAACAAAAAGTAGTATACCGAAAAAATATTAAGAGAAATTTGCAATTAGAAAGAGTTTACTTATGAAAAAAAAAGATTTTAAAATCTATTTGTGCTGCACTTAAAATATATAATTCCAATGAGAATTACTATTAATTATTTGTATTTTTTACTTTAACCCAAATGCGTTACAAAACAGAATACCAAATGCGATTATTAGATAACTAAAAATTTGAGCGTTTCTATTACTAGCCACCAAATACACATTGCAACCACCAAATAACAAATTAATTCAATCAATTTAAACATAATCCAAATCAAATTAAACATATATCCGGTGCACGAACGTCGGCTTACTTGTTCCCACGCCCTAATGACATCCCTTAAGTCCCGTAATTCCCCCTCGATACTTTAAATAACCGTTTTAATTATCTTTATTGATTTTTGCATTTTAAGCTTTCAGTTTGTTGTCCCTGCAGACAGAGCTCCAGGCTGTATTCGAAATTCTTCGGCAAACTTAACCCTGACAGACGCCGCCAGGTGTTGGGCGAAAGTTGAGAACAAAGCGCAGACAGGACCTCCTCAAGCAGTCCAATTAATTTCGATTGTCGAAAATAAAGCGAGACAATCACAGAGCGACGAGCGCGCAAGTATATATTAATCAAATGGCGCCAAAGACGAGGACAGCCGGAAGGCGGCGGGAAAAGCGGGAAAAGCGGGAAAAGCGAGAATAGCGAGGACATCGAGCACCCTCCAGACGTGTCCTGTCTGCTGACATGAAGAAGCCTCAAGGTCCTTTCCTGACGAAAGGCTCCTCAGCTGGCGTCGTGAATTACTTTGCTAATTTTCCTGCGCCAAACGCGAGCCATCTGTCCTTGTGTCTACGAAATAGTATGTTATGACGATGTACTCATACCCTTTATAATATAGGATTGTATTGCATTATAGCAACATTAAAACCAATGATTCCGGTCTCGAACACTTTGAATTTGTAATAGACTAAAAAAAATGGAGCATATTCTGGTAGCCAATTAATAGAATAAAATTATTTAACCTTTTAGTGAATACAGGATATCCCAAAGTCGGTTTCATCGTGTTTTCGGGGCTGTATACGGGTAAGGACTCGCTCGAAAAGTCAAAGTGCAATTAGCAAGCTGCTCCCGTTTCTGGCTGGCTCCTTTTATATTTATCAGTGCAAATATTTGTTTTCAATTTCGTATGCAAATGTCGCAGTCGAGCTTCCTCCATTAATCACAGCTGCACAGTCAGTGGTGTCGAGTGGGTGGAATGGAAAAAATAATTAGGTTGTCATGTTTACGGCGCTGAAATTAGCTGGCAGTATCGGAATGTCACATCTTTGATGTTGATCTCGCGCAAGGGCAAAAGAATTTGCAAAAGGCGGAAATTTCCATGACTTTTCACTTTTTCCCGCTGACTCTCTCTGTATTTATTTATTTTTTTGCCAGCTTAAGAGCTGACCTTATTTCTGGTCCGACTGGGGACCGACGGAAATTGCAGCAAATACGAGAGTACGAGTACGAGCGCAGCACACCTTAAACCGGAAGCGGAAACATTATTCCCAAAATGTCAAAAAACATAACAGAAACCCATTAGACACACTTTGTTTCTGGGTCAGCCGGCAGACGTCCAACTTCCAAAAGTGAAAACCCAGGCGGGGAAAAAGTCGAAATTGTCAGAAGGTTGGGGAGGTGAGGGGAGGGGTGAGGAGGGGGTGTGCAGAAACAAAACGAGTTGGATGGGTGGGCGGATGTACGGAAACTGACCAGGCCACTCTCTCTTCCCCGGAGACCGGGTCGCACGGAAATCAAGTTGTGTCAACAGCTTAAAAGCCAAAATGTAATAAGCCAGGGAAATGTAATGTAATAAAATATCAAATATAAAATGGCGATGGTCCTGGCGGTGGAGCATTTGTTGCCATTAAAGTTTTACTTTGAAATTGGAAGCAGAGGTCTTTGGGAGTTGGGTGCAAAAAGCGAAGTCGCAACCAGCTGAGCATAACAACTTAAGAAAGGTCAGGAGATGGACTCTAAAGGAACCTCGGAACTGGGATACCCTTACATCTAAAATTAACTATCTGTTTTGCTAGATTTTTATTTATTTTCTATATATCTAGGGTAAGAAATGTTAGTACAACAGTTATTTTTCAACAACATAAATTCGAAATATTAAAAAACAAATATTTACCATATTTTTGGAAAAACATATAGATTTCTATAGTGTCCACCCATATACAATGGTATTCTAATATCCTTATTCAAAAGAACTCCATTCCATTTTAAATGGTATCCTCAATTCTAAACCTTTATCAAAGTTATCATAAGCATTTCAAATGCAAAATAAAAACCAAGAAACGATTAAAATCTTTGCCAGAGCTGCGTAATAAATAATATTGTGGCAAGCTTAAGGCCAAAGTAAATAAGCTCGTGCCAAGTGCCATAAAACGGATTGCTTGGCTTGGATTTTGTGTAGCCGCAAAATATGCAATATTTTATTATTGTTGCCCCGAACAGTATGCAACACTTTATTTCAGCGCTATGCGCTTCCGCCTCTGCTAGGATTTCCTGCCCCGCAGAGGTCCTGGTATTCAGCAGATCTGGAACAGTTCCAATCCTCGACTCCTTGGTGTTTGCACTTGTGTGAACGCCAAAAAGTGTGCTAGATAGTTTTTGCATGCGATTTGAATGAGCACAAACGGATATCGCGCTGTGTTTTGAAGTTTTTTTGTTTGACTCTAGAATGAAAAGCACATGAGTGCCACTCGAAATCATTTTAAAACACTCGAAAACTTTTTTCTGTAAAATATTATTTCAGCTGGATGGTTTTATTTGGTCAACCGTCGGATGTTATAGACTTTTTTAAGGAATATGCGGATAATAATCAGTATTTATAAATCTTAAAAATAATTTTTTTGATATTTATCTTTTAATAGTATAAATATTGGTTCTGCTTAGGTATTAAAGAAATCCCTAAAATGAACATAAAAAAGGCAAAAAGGTTTTCGAATTGATATCCCACACAATTGAGCCAACAAACGGAAGTTTCGCGGCTATTTTCAATCCTGCCATCGATGGGACATTGAACCAAACAACGAATAAATGTTTGTAAACTTTTCTCACCAGGTTTTGTATTATTCTGCGAGTTGCTTTATTTTTTCCACGAATAAAGAGTTCAATCAACCCTTTGAAAGTTGGCCCAAACAAAAAGTTGCGAATAGCTCGACTCTGTTGGCCACTCAGACTTTTTAATGACCATCCCAGCAAAACTTTCATCGATTGCCCTGCCCGAAATTCAAATTGAAGGCTGGGAATCAATCCAAAGGGGCGGGACAATTGGGTCTGGCGTTAATTTTATGTCTTGCAGTATGTTGCACGCAGTGTAAATGCTAATTAGGACCGGGAAATGTCTGCAGCTGGGGAGGTATTTGCTTCTTAATTGCGTAAACCAAGCGTTTGATTGGTATTTGGACAACAATTGACATTAAACAGTTGAATCAATAAAAAATTAAAACGGAAGTCCCACAACAACGGCAATCAAGTGTGAGTTTCGGCAAATATTTAATGTGTTTTGGGTGCGAATGGAAGTGGAGTGAGACCTTTGTTTTAACCCCCGGCCTAATGACTAACTAAACAATCTGTTGTTCCCCCCGATATTAAAACAACAATATTATTATTAGCTCAAACAAAACGGTCATTGGCCTACCCCCAATTGAAGAAGTCAAGAAACCTCAATTAGGCTGTCAATCAACACATCGAATGGAGTCAGTTCGCCTCCTTTTGGCCGTCGACATTCCGCCAAATAATAGAGCTATTGATTTTCCACCCCCTTAATGACGCCCATGGCCCGTGGGCGTTTGCCGACATGCCCCGCGTAGTCCTTGATCGCCTAATTAGTTGCCTGTCTGCGGAATATATTGCTCCTGATTTCCCCCACTTCAAAGTGGCGCTGAATCCGAAAAAACCCGGCAGTCAAATAATGCAAATATTATTTCGCTATGACTACAAGCAGTCTCTTTGAGTGCTTAAGAAATGTTTGGAATCCAGCCAATCAGTTTTAAAGCACGGGCATTATGGGATATCATTAAAAAGATTTAGTAAGGCTAAAGATTTTTTATTCTTTTAAATCACCACTTATTATTTCGAAATGGTGAGTCAAAGTCTTTAAATGAAAATTCCTTGTTTTTACTGTCTTTTATTAGTGGGCATTATTATATGATTTGATGGAGTATTTTTCTTTAGAACTTGAGAGAATACAATTTTTTAAAATATGTTTTCCTATACAACTTTTATGACAATAGTAAATATACATATATAATCATACAACTTTTCTAAAAATAAGTTATGAAAAAAAACTTTTGTTAGCTCGAATCTCGAGTAAATCTAAAACTTTTAAGCTGCCAGCTTGCAGACAATTCCCTCTTCAACTGGCCTTTTAATATTTTTCGTCAAAACAAATAAATAAATTCATGCGTACGTCTGGAAATCGGCTAATCCATTTGTTTAAGTCTGCTAATTGCCAGAAGAAAGCCACTCGTGCAGGTGATCCTATTGAATCAAAAATTCGAAAGGAAACATATTCAGTGAGTGCGGTACACCATTCGCCAGTTGATAAACGAGCAAAACTGCAAAGGGACTGTCAAATCTGAGCCTTTGTTCGATTTAATTATCGGTCTGTACAAAGAGTTGGGCGGAAGAAATCTTGCCAGGCTTCGAGGGCATATCCTTGTGGCATGTGGCAGGGATGTAACAAAAAACCAATAATGAAAGTGGAGTTGCACTGCTGGCGATGTCAGTTCCATCCAGCTTCCCTTGCCCAGTTGATTCCCCACCAACCGGCAAAAGAATTCCCACCCCTTTATCGATTAGCGCATGTAACAGCTTTTACCTATGGGAATGTGGGTGCACTGGGAAAAATTCTTATAATTAAAGCAGAATTATTGAATAAAATAAAGTGACAGTACTTAAACAAAAATGTTGTATAGTTATATTTTAACCAAGCTAAGATTTTATTTAGATAATTTGTCAAACAAAAAACTTTTAATTAAAGTAAATACGATTTAGTCAGTAAATAATAATTATATGATATTAAAATTTTGGTTTTCTTATACAAATTTTTTCCTAATGTAATTGCAGTGTACACAAACAAACATGTTACTAAAACTTCCGTAGCCGGTGACCTCTCAACCCCCACTTGAGGGTTAAGGAAGGGGTGGGTGGGTCAAGGGGAGGGCAGCTACCAGAGCAAATGACGCTGCAAATGAAAGCAGGAAACGTTGCAGCATTCATTCATTTTACACACAAAAGCCATTAACCGCTTTGATTCCATTGTTTTGTTTGTCATCATCATCACCAACAGCAGCAACGTCAACCCCCAATCCCCATTCTCCCGGTAGAAGTCGCCGTAATTCTCCCGATTCAATTCCCCATTCCCGCCAAGGGGTCAGGGGTCAGGACAAGGTCAGGACAAGGGTATGGGGCGAAGTCAAGGCTATGATTTACACAATTTTACATTTGATTTTTAATGGACTCAGTGTCATAGAATCTGAATCCAAGGGTAGTAAATTCCGTTTAAATGACATACATGAAATAATGAAAGCAAATTTAGCTCTTTTATAGCCCGATAAAACAACTTTTAAGCGAACTAAGATAACAAATGTTTTTATAAAATAAAAATGAATGTAGTGCAACTAAAGTACATATGCAATTTAAACATTGTTTATCCTTAGAGGTTTAAAGATACCAATTTGCATCATAAATTGTATAGTGCAATAAAAAATTAATGGAGAGAATCAAGGAAGAATAAAAACTAAATTACAAATTTAATTTGTTATTGTTATTGGTATTGCCCTCATATTGAATGTGCCTGAATATTAAAAATCCGTAATGTATTTATGTGCACTTAATTTCTATAATAGTCAAATGAAATATGCCATCAGTCAGATTTTGTTTGTTAGGAATTAAACTTAACTCCGCAAATCTGTAATTTTTATTTATTTTCTTTACGGCCTTTATCTTTTCACCTATGACCTGGGGAAATGTGCTGGTGGGGGAGTCTTAAACCGAGCACTTTCACCCATTTGCCATTGTTGTCCCTCTTGCGCCCCAATATTATTATTATTGAAAGACTTTTGCTGAGCTGCGGGTTTTATAAAGTGCCTGCGGCACTGCTTCCGTTCCGTCCGTAGACCATCATCATCGACCGTGGACCCCGTAGACCGTCTCCGTCCGTCTGCTCGTCCGGTGCTGGCAAAAAACGACTCTTGCGGAAAAATCAACATTGCACAAAAGTTTTCAACGTTTCGTACCGCCAATCTCCAGCACCACCCACTAACACCACCCATTAACCACCCACAAACCCACCATTTTGGACCACCTCCATCGTCATCGTTCATTTCGCTCCCTTTGCATTGCTTTTTTGTTTTGGCTTAGCGTTGATGATGTATGCACTTTGAAAAGAGTTGAGCAAAGTGGTTTTTCGGGTTTGATGAGCTAACGTCAAGTCCCCTGCCCCGCCCACTTCTACGCCCTTTTTTCCCCGGCTGAGAAATATGAGTACGTGTGGGTGGGTGTTTGATTTGCCCGCGTCTGTGTGTTTGAATTGCACTGCTGCATAAAGTTATTAATGGACTTCAATGGGGTTTCAATTATGCAATTTCTGCGATTTGAATTTGAATGATATTTTGATTGTTTGCTTGCGTTTGTTAGACGATTTTCAAATTTGACGCAACGAAATGCGTTGTTCTAATTTAATTAGAGAGCTAATAGCATTCAGTCGAGCGACATTTAATTGGCAAATAATTCACTTTGGAAATTAAAATAAATCAAAGAGTTTTACAGCACAGATTTTAATGTTTTAGTATCAGTTCGTTTGAATACATTATGGAAATCAAACACTTATGTTGAATAACTAACCAAATGCAATATTTTTTCTTTTATTTCCCCCTTAAGCAAGTAGAACTATAAACCACTTAATTTAAAGATTAGGCGTTCTTATAATTTTTGTTAGTCACTTTTAAATTTTTTTACACATAAATTATGCCAATCAAATCAATTCTCTTTATTTAAAAAGCTTGAAACTCAAGTTCGCGCCTTTAATAGGCTTAAAATAAGAACAGGGCTGCATTTTCGATTAATTGATGTGGCAGCCCTACTCTTAAGTAGATCTGGTCACGCTAAATCAGAAACCTCGTTCTTTTAATTGGAGAATTCGGTATAAAATAAGTGAGATGAATTGGTCTATGTAAGTTAAAGTGTTAGCCATCGTTATAAATCATAAAAGATTTTAAATGGTCAACAGGAGCAAGTTCACCAAGCGCTACAAGCCGATGCCCAAGTTAGTTTCGAAAAAGCCAAAACCGAAAGAACCAGAACGGAAGGTCCAGAAGAATCTATTTGGAGTTGTAGAATTTCTGCCATCTGCGCCGATTCTAGCTGACTATAATGTCCCGGACTCAAAGGTGGAATGTTCAGAGTCAGGTGAGGAATCAAGCCGGCAGAATTCCTTGGCAATTGCTGCTCCAAGAACGCCAACGGAGAAAGAGGTGCTGCACATCTACGAAGACGTTACCAAACTGTCTGATATCGAGCGCTATCTAAATATATTGTACAGGTGAGTTGAAAACAACAGGTAATGTAGCATACTAAATGATATCGCACCCTTGTAGACCCTTTTCCTGCTTGGCCACCACCACATCCAAGTACGATCTCTCGGAACTGGAGGTCCATCTTCGCCATGCCCGGTTCGATCCCGATAGACACTTGGCTGTTTTGGTGAATCGCCTTTCGCCCATGAGCAGCCTGAAGATCTATCCCAATGGCAATATATATTGCCAGGGCTATAGCCGTGAAGATGCCCGAAGAGGTTTGATTAATATAGTCCAAGAGCTGAGGGACCTGGGTTATACTCCCCGTTTGCGCCGCTATAAGTTTAATGTGGTCAACGCCACCTTCAGTGTGCCCTTTCATCTGAACTTGGAGCAACTCCACTTGCAAAATCCCCGATTAACCCAATACGATCCCATGAGTAAGCCATTTTTGATCTGCAAATTGATGGGTACAATGGTCAATTCAGCCATTTTCCCCACGGGCTACGTATATGTGATGTCTGCCAGCAACCGAGGTCTCATCAAGCTGGCCATAGCGCAACTTTTGCCCATCCTGTATCGTTTCAAGGATTCAGAAAAAGATCAAAGCGAACTGAGCCTCAGTTGCGGCGATATTAACTACAAAGTGCTCTGGGAGAACTATTTCCAGGATGCTGACCTCTCAGATTAGCGCTACACTAACTACAGAAAGTATTAGTAAGGTCCGTTTCAAGAAAAAATAGTATCATTCAGTTTCGTTTTGAGATGTTGAAAGATAATGTTCCAGAGAAAGAACTATTAAGTTCCCTTTTGATATTTTCAAATATAAACTCCATTTTAACATATAATGTCGACAAACTTTCCCCTGTACATTCATATCATCATAAATAGTTCATAAATGTCAGAAAATTGCCCCAAGATAAATACTTCAGAAGTGTTTTATGCACCTTTAAATTGTGTTGAAAACTTTGCCGAAAAATTAATCCTCTCCAGAAGACTTTGCCTTTAACTGGAAATCCCACCATAAGAGGAGTCAGTCGAAATCACTCGCAAATTTACAATGTAGATTTCCTCTTGCAGCCCGCCTGCAAATCGAATGTTTGCAGTGCCCAATCACCTGGGAGGTGGTGACTGGTGGCGAATGGTTATTGTGATGTCGGTGGTGGTGGTGGCGGGACACCCACTAGCATAATAAAAATGACAGCGAGCATGACAACACCGAATGAAATCGAATCGGTAGCGAAAATGTGTCAAATGGAATTTGAAACCGGCAGCTCCATCACTACTGGCTCCACCCGTTTCATACAACTCCTGACCAGGTGGCTTCGATTTGTGCTGGCCGACATGAAAAACAATTCAGTGTCATATTTGTGTGCTCGCTTTTTGCGTTTGTTTTGTAAACGCAGCTCATCGGAGTTGGTTCGATGGGTCTGGTCCTGGGGTCCTTCTGATCCTGGCATGGAAGGGCATTTGTCACTTAACGTACGAATAATTTGGACCGTTTTTCGATTGTCAACCCGGCCGCATTACGTCAACAGAACCGAGTAACTTCTCTGTTTGCATTTGAATATTGGACAATGATGCGGTCTTTTAGTGAGATGTCACATTTTCTGATTGCCACAAACCTTTTACTAATCGAAAATGTGTCATTTTCAGGAATGCATCACAAGCCCCAAATAAAAGTCAGTGCACTTTAAAAATTTAGTGTCCTTTAACGTTCCTTCTATGATGATATATTATATGATTTTATATTAGTGACCTTACGAATTTGAAAAAATACAATTTTGACTTTTGAAGTTAACATTTTAGCAACAAGCTTGGGTTTTATAAATTCCTATTAAATTGCTGCGGTCAAATTAAGTAAATCCAATATTATACGGTATTTTTTGTGACCGGCTCATCCAACAACTAAATCCCCATAAGTAAGCATGTAGTTTTTGGTGGATTTACGAGCTTAGCGCGCTTAATGAATGAACAAAAAAGAGAAACTTGGCAGCGGATTAAGAGCTTGGAATTAAAAAATAATATTTTTGCTAAAAAACAAATTAACTGAAATCTGCTCATTTGAATTCCAGGCGCCGAGCTAAAAATGCAAAAAGTAATTAATATTCTTGTGTTCGTGTGTCCATGGCGGAGAGGTCCGAGGGTCCCGCAGGACTATGTGGTGGACTGGACTCGACTGCATTTTCATAATTCCAGGACAACAGCGAGCAAAATGTCGGGGACAGCCAGCAGAAAGGAGCAAAACGAAGCGCAGTAAATTCCGACGCACTGGAATTTATGCAGCAAATATTAACTTACCACACACTCAAACACACAGACAGTGGGTCCTGGCACATAAATCCAAGGAAAGGAAGGCAAAGGCAAGGACATGGAGCAGCCAAATGATTCCCAACCACCCGATTTGTGCTTGGCCAGCAAGAACTGACAACAAAACTCATTAGCAGATCCGGCGACCGTGACCGTCGCGCGAATGGGCGTGGCACTCCCGCCCCTTGACCACGTCCCCTCACCCAGTGGTGGGCGTTGGCCGCCGGTCAACCGCAGACCCGGGAAATCGGTAGAAAACTCCGGACTCTCCAGACCCACCGAAAAAACGCAGCGTGCACTTCCGTTTGGCGAAAAATTCTCGTTATTTTATTCATATTTTCGCAGGCTGCACTTTATCTCACTGCGGCGGTCTTAGTTGGCGAAATTGTGTGCAACCACGAAAATCTAATAAGCGCGCAAATTTGTTGACATTGCGCAAATGTTTTTTACGGGCCTAGGAGGAGCAACTTTCGCCAGTTCAGCCCCCCAACGAAAACGGGCAGCTCCTTCGTTAAAGATGACTGTGGTCTGGCCTTGGGCCTTAACCCATTTCGACGCAGTGCCAGATTCTTTTTTCGGCTGTGGCCAAATGCAAAGTTCCTCTCTGCGGCAATTTTGAAATAATTATGGAGGGTAATTGGACTTCCCAGGGCAGTTAATTTCCATTTTAACAGAATGCTTTTCATTTGCATTACAATTTGGACAAAATTGTGGTATATTCCAGGAAAGTCATTAAAAACTGTCCTAACATGAAATATATTTTTAACAATATAACTATAAAAGTATTGTTTAAAATGCGAGTAATATTTAGTACCTATTAATTTGTAAATAAAATGTAACATTTGCTTTAGTAAGTTAGATATTTTGATGGAAGCTTTTTATAACAAGAAAATTTAAATGATTGTTATTTAAGACAATCAATAAAAAAAAGGTAAATTTTTAGCATTTTATAAATCAGTTAATTTATATTATCTTCCTCAAATGTTACCTTTTGAAATTTAATTTTATTAATAACATTTTATTTCTTTCTTTTTTATGAAAAATGCAAATTTCTGATCAAAGGGCAAATCGAGTTGCCTGTTTATAAATGGGTTAACATAGTTGAAGGAAAAAACAGAAGTCGGACAAAAAGCAGGACCCGAGATCACCACACCCGCAAACCGAAACTTTCTCGACATTTTTCTCTACCTTTGACAAGTCGCGTGCGATGGTGCGTAAACCTTTTAGCTTTTGCACTTTTGAAAACAGGTGAGGTAAAGGAAAAGCCAAGGGAAAACCAGACAAAAAAGCAACTTTGCATCGACGAGGTTTTTCGACCATAAAGATCCTTTATCGACCCAGATCGTCCGTCAGAGGCGGCGAGACAATTTCATTAAGCGCTGTGCCGTTTAAAGGCCAAGACTTCGCCTCCTTTGATTTTTATCGGTTGACCTCGACACGAGAGTGTCCCGTTGTCCAGGACTGTCTGACAGGATTAAATGCGAGAGCTGCCCGGGGACAGGGCGTAAAGTTTTTAATTATTTTTGTGGTTTGAAAATGCATTTCCCGCCAGCACAGCCACCCAGACAACCCATCCAACCCACACAACCCAGCCATCGCCTGTCAAGGCAAAGGACGTGCTGGGTGAGCTGAAGGATAAAGGAGCAACCGCAAACACCCCGACTTTTATCAGCGCCTTGCCATTGTCATGTGTTACCCATGGTGAGCTTACTGCATTCATTTAAAAGAAAAGTGCAATAACATGTTATTTCGCCCCGGACAGGACTCTTGGCCGCCTTCACTTCAGTTATTCCCGGTACGATTGTTAACGGTAAGCGGCTTAAAAACATTCACTGCCTTATTACGTAATTACAAGCGGATGACAAGGGGGGGGCGGAGCGGAGGCATTCGCTGCATTGAATTATTCGAAATACGCGAATAATTGAAAACGAGCAGTAAAAAATATAAATTGGAAAAAGGGGAGAGTCGTCTGAAATCAATGAAAAATTCAGTGATTTACATCACCATTCAGACATTTTTCGCTCATTATGGAAATTTATTTATTATACCCCGCGTTTTGAATAAAAATCGTTTTCCCTGTCCTTCCGAAGGAAACTGTGCAAACGACAGAGAAATGGTCAAGCTTACACTAAATGAATGCAGATTCGACGGATTATTTATCAATTTGATTGATTGCGGGTTTCAAAAACACCACCCATATAATTTTATAAACTATATAGTAGGTATTTTCGGTATTACTTCAAAACATATTCATTTTTCTGAGTGGCCTTTATATATACTCTATCAAGAAATAATCAACTATTGTGTGCACCACTTATCGAGACTTTATAAAGCTCACCTCTTATGCAAGTTCCAACGAACTCCAGCTAATGCCATATTTTTCGGAGTATGACTGAGACCGACAAGAAACGAGGGCAGCTATTTTTCGAGGAAATATCCGCAGAAATTTTCACAATTAATATCCACTTCCTGTGCAGACGACTTGCAAGTTGCAACCATTTCTGAATGCAGCCGGCAGGGCAACAACAAGTATTTACTGGGTGGGTGGGTAGCCATTCCGCAAGTAACCCCAAACTGCCGCGGAGTTCACATGTGAGTTCATTGCTGCCATTAATGAATACGTGTGCAGCAATAAACCCATTTTTTATGGGTAAAAGTCACGTGAGAAACTATTTAGTACATCTACGAACGAGTCTGGTGGAAAGTGGGTGCAAAGTCGGTGCAACTTTGTGCCTGACACAGCCAGAAGAAAAGGCAACTTTCCTTCTTCACTGAGGAGCCCCCGAACGAATCACAGCAAAAAAAAGTGAAAATATTTTCCAGCTACTCACATGCATATTTATATGTGTGTACCATCCTAACCAGAACCAAAAAGTGAGGCATTTTGTGTGCTGGCTGAATTAATTTTTGGCATTTATCAACTAAGCAAATTGAAATCGTGTCGGTCGAGTCTGGCATTCCTAACCCAGTTTATTGTTGGGCTCCTCTTGATATGTGCACTCAAGCACTTTTTGCAAGGCCTTGTGGGCCCCCCTGTTGTTGAACAAGTAAATCAACGAGTTTTTGATACTTCCTCAACTTTTTTGGCACATCAGATAATTGATTTGCAAGTGGAGCGACTGGGGCGTTAATGAATGACGCTTGTCAAAGTTTTTAAAACTCTTTCGTTTTCGATCAAACTGGTGAAACACAGAAAAAAAACATTTTAGAAATAAATGCTCCAATGCTAATAAGTTTAAGCATTAATATATTTTCTATGGATTTTCTATATTTTAATATTCAATTTATCAAAATGTGCTAATTACTTTATTATTTGTAAAGACTTGACTTCTAAATAAAATCCATTAAAATGTCTTTATACAACTTAGACCTCCTTATATG